ATTTTCTGAAAAAAAAAATTTCTTTCATGTTTTGAAAACATTCATGTTTTGAATGCTACTTCATGTTCTTTCATGTTTTGAAGTTGTCATCGTTTTTACTAGGAACTAAGCTGTAATGACTTCTTGAAATAATTGAAATATTTATACTTGATTTTAAACTTTTAATGTCAGCTTGTAGCAAAGTACTATTTATCTGAAGCAATCTTGATTAAATAATTGTAAAATCTAATAAGTTGAAGAATAATCTTTGCTTTTTTTAATTCTTTACTAAATGTTTATCAGTTTCTTGCAAAACAAACACATAAATATTCTTTCTTCGCTTTGGTTAGGATATATTAAAATAGGTAGTCTAATGTTAGAACTAAAATTGAGATCTGCCTCCACAAATAGCAATTCAACAACAGCTAAAACAGCATCGAATTCATTCACATTTTCAAAGTTTGCGCTACAAAAAGTCATTTTAAAAACATTTGATGCACTCTCAGCCCGGTCACCCCTTAAAGCTCAAGTTATTTTACGAAATCGATAGAAAACGGCCCGCGTTTCCAGACTAGTTAAATACTATGACTATGCCTTAACACATGAGTTTTCGATTTGAATGACGTAATACAAACAGATGGACGCACTGGACCATAACGTTATACACAAAAGCGCTAACTACAACAATACAAAATATGACAGCTTAAGCGAATAAATCGAATTTAAATAAGAAATTAAGTGAGACAAAATATCTGACAAAAATGAGAAGTTGAAATACTTAAAATAATAATAAAAACTAAGTGTAGGGAATAGCGACCACGAGTAATGTATAGTTCAATCTATAAATATAATCTAGAGTGTTACCTACAACATCTAGAAAATTCGTATTTAGTATTTATTCTTGCAAACTAAATATCACTTTTTTACAAAAATATGATTTTTGACGTCTAAGTTTTATTAATAATAAGCTCTCATTATGAGGCGCTTATCTATCAAATTTGACATTTCAAAACAGATGAGCTATTTCTAATTAATTACAATGCATTAGTTTAAAAAAAAAAGTTAGGGTTTTATAGGTTTTGAAAAAAAAAAGTTAGAGTTTTGTAAATTGTACTTTTTAAAAAAAGTAGTTAGAATAGCGAAATTATCGGAATAAACGTCGGTTTACTTTTATAAATTATTCAGTAAAAATGACGCTTAAAATTATAGCTCTAATAGGTTTTTGTTTACTCGCGGCGCCTCAGATCTATAACAATAGGTTAAACATCCATTTATTAATACGTCCTTGCTTTTAGTTAATTTCTCAAGAGAGACTTATCAATAAACGCGGTGGAGGAGTTCTTATTAATGTAAAGAAAAGTATTGCTCGTTATGTTAGGAATGATTTACGTATTTCTGACGGCGCAAAGAAGTTTTAACTATTGAAATTCTTAAAAATCAATCAAAAATATTTTACTGAGCTGTTGCTATAGGCCTCCGAACGGTGTGGCTGAGAACATGAACATGTATTTTGAGGAAAACCTTTTCAAAAAAGGCTTCTTTGAAAGAAAATTTTAAAAAGAATTTTATTGTAAGGGATTTTAATATGAATCGCTTCCACTACGCTACGGACATTAAAGTTAAAAATTTTTATGATTCTATTTTTGAAATGGGAGCCATTCCTTCTATAAATCTCCCTACCAGAATAACTCCAAAATTAGCTACTCTAATTGATAAAATTCTAACGACTGATATTTTTAACAGTAACATATATAAAAGTATTTTAAAAACAGACATATGTGATCATTTCCCTATCTTTTTTACCATTAAATTCAACTCTAAAATAATGACTAAAACAAACATAAAAGTTAAATTACGTAACTGTAATCAAAAAAACGTTGAGCAATTTAAAACACAATTATCATTGCTCCATTGGAAGAACATTGACTTTACTGATAATGCAAACAACATTTACAATAATTTCTTTAATACATTTTACTCTGTTTATAATGCTAATTTTCCTTTAAATGAAAAAACAATAAATATAAAACAAAATCATTAATTCTCCTTTAAATGAAAAAACAATAAATAAAAAACAATAAACATTAATTCTCCCTGGGTTACCAAAGGGTTAAAGAAAAGTTAAGCAGAAGTTATACATAAAATATCTAAAAAATAAATCACTCGCCAATTAGAAGATATACAAAGATTACAAAAATCTTTTTGAAAAAATTCGAAAAAACTTAAAAAAACATTACTATTCTAAAATTCTCAATAAAGCAAAAAATAATTGTAAACGCTCATGGCAAATAAAAAAAGAAAATACCGGTAAATCAAAATCATCCTCAGGCTCCCTGCCACAAATAATCAAAGTGGATAATAACAATATAATTAATTCTGAAACAATAGCTCATGAATTCAATAATTTTTTTGTTAAAATTGGCCCTAAATTATCTAAATTAATAACTAATACAGATGCCTCATTTAAAGATTTCTTAGTACCGATGGATAAATGCATTCGCTCGGATGAGTTATTAGTTGATGAGTTCGAAAAAGCCTTCAAAACACTAAAAAAAAAATAAAGCAGTCGGACCAGATGAAATCAATGGTAACACAATTTTATATTGTTTTGAACAATATAAATATATTCTTTTTAAAGTCATTAATTCATCAATAGAACAAGGAGTCTTTCCTGATCAATTGAAAATTGCTAAAGTCATTCCGCTTTTCAAATGAACAAATTGAACAATTTCAAATGAATAAATTGAACAAATTGCTAAAGTTATTCACTTTTCAAATGAACAAATTGAACAATTGAAAATTTCAAATGTACAAATTCAAAGTTGAACAAATAAAGTATATTCTTTTTAAAGTCTTTAAATCATCAATAAAACAAGGAGTCTTTCCCGATCAAGTGAAAATTGCTAAAGTCATTCCACTTTTCAAATATGGTGACAAATCTGATATAAGTAATTACCGGTCTATTTCTATCTTATTTATATTTTCTAAAATACTAGAAAGAATCATGTTCAAGAGAGTATTTAATTTAAGTTTAAATAATTTATTATACAACAATCAGTTTAGTTTAAAAAGAATAATTCAACTGAGCATGCAATAATTCAGTTGGTGGGTGAAATTTCCAATTCTTTTGAAAATTTTAATTTACATTAGAAATTTTTATTGATCTTTTAAAAGCATTTGATACTGTCGATCATGATATTTTGCTTTATAAACTTAGCTATTATGAAATAAATGAAAGAGTAATTAAATGGTTTCAAAGTTATTTATTGAACAGGAAACAATTTTTTTCTTGTAATGAATTTAATCATAAGGTTCCATCTTAGGCCCTCTTTTGTTTCTAATATAAATCAACGACTTGCATAAAGCATCAAATCTTCTAAGTATTATGTTTGCTGATTACACAAACTTATTTCTCTCTAACAGTGACTTCTATCTTCTTTGCTCCATGATGAACAAAAAACTTCAAAACATATCTAAATGGTTTAAAAGTAACAAATTGACATTAAATATAACCAAAACAAAATGGGTTTTTTTCCACCCGCTCTCTAAAAAACGTTTTCTACCTCCAAATCTACCAAAAATTCTTATTGACGATATTGAAATTAAAAGAGATTCTGTAACTAAATACCTGGGAGTTTTCATTGACGAGAACATCACATGCAAACATCATATTAACTATGTTAGGCTTATGTGGTATGATGCCATCTGTATATGATCGTCAATCACGTTCCTTTTTAGAGTTCAATTGTTGGAAAGCAACATAATTCAGACATTTTATTTTACACAGTGGTTTCTTAGTTTTAAAGAGTTTTGTTAGCAAAGGAATATATATTTATTTTTTAACATTCCATGTTGCAATGGTGGTTTTCTCAAATGAAGACAATCAATTAAGAAAACATCATCTTGAATTTGCTAAAGAACTAATAAAATATTTTGTTACTAGTTTGAAACATATATATTCAAAATTTTTCTGTGAATATAATGATCACTTTTTAGTTAACAATTGTGATGATGATGTTAGATTTGATTGCTTGCTAAATAAGATATCTTGTTTTCCCTTTGAAAATTATACGCAGACTAGGGCCCTGCTAATCAAAATTTTTATTTTCGAATCGAAGTACAATTCAAAGCAATTCTCAATTTGCAAATCAAATTGAATCACGAGTCCAATTACCATTTTAAGGAATTCTAAGTTTAACTAAAATATATATATCTTTAAGTATCTGATTTGTTACGAGATTCGACTCGATTTGCAAATCAACGCCTTATTCGATTCGGATTCGATTAGATACCAAAAAAGGTGATTTGCAGGTCCCTAATGCAGACTTTAATTAAATAGCAAGAAATTTTAAGCTCTGTTGTTTAAATAATAAAATACAATATTTATTTAATACTAAATCTCAAAAACTAAAAATTTCAGTAAAGCTGAAAAATTCATGCTTTTACCTAGAAGAAGATCAATTTTGTTTTGTAGATAAAAAGTTTCCATCTAAAATTTTAAAAGGTAGTATATTTATTGACTGATTTAAAAAATGATTTATATACACAAATTATTTTTTTCTAAAAAACTTTTCATATTTTCTCATACCTTTTTTTCCAAAGTAGAGCATCAATCTTTAATTTCAAATACATAATTTTAAAATACCCGGGTATTTGATATTTGGTAGGATAATTAAATCAAAATTTTTCGAGACACTCATAAAGAAAAACAAAGAATGTCTAAAAAGTTATAGAAACTACCTTGCAGTTCCTTTTTAGCAAAAAACTATATTATCAAAACTTTTCGTTAAAGCAAAAAATATCATGGGACAGAACTGGTACAGAAAAACTTGAAAATCTTAACAAACAAAACAAGCAGACCAGTGTGTACCAGCAGTATATTACAACTGTATGAACTTACTAAAACAAACTAATAATTCCGATATTACTAAAACAGTTTAAATGTTTGCTTCTTGGTCATCTCACATACTTTTAGTTAAAGTTTAAATTACTTATACAAGAAATAAAGATAACTATTAAACCTTCAACACAGAAAAATCCTTCCATGGTATTTTGAAGCGCAACATCATAAATATATCTAGTGCTTGTAGAGATTTTATATTGTGGATTGATTGTTTCAATTGAATTTATTTCTCCAACGCACGAATTTTGTTGCTCATTAAGTGCTGATAAATTTAAAAAAAAAATGCTTTTTAATATTAACAAGCAATTAAATAATGTATAAACAAACAAAATTAGTAATAAAAAAATAAATATATAAAATAAAACTAGGATTTCAGGTCGATCTTTGATCAGAAGCTTAAATTTGTTACTGATGAAAAATTTTAAAGTAAGAAGGAACAAGAATGTGTCTTGCTTGCAATGAAAAAACAATGATTAGGAAACTTCATATCCGTAGATACGACTATATCGATATCTTGAATTATTAGATGCAACAGGTGTAGAAATGTTCATTGATTTTGAATTTGAAGGTAAAGAACATTCAATATATGTTCAATAGAATTAATACCTTATTCAAAGATAATGATTTATTTTGTTGAAAACAGTTTGGATTTCAAAAAAAGACTTTATTAATGAAATAAAAGATTTTTTTGTAAACAGAGAATTTATTTTAGTTGTTTTTTACAGCTAACATCAAACGTTCAAGTACGTTTGACAAACGTTGCGAACGTCCGAGAACGTTCTTTGAACGTTCATAGAACGTTCTTAAACGTTCACAACGTTTGTTGAGCTCCCGGATAACGGTAAGATGTCGTGAAAACACCAAATGTAAGCATTTCAAGCGCCATGAGACTTAGATTGATCGATTTTTATATTTTATACTGTAGTACATAGTCTATGTAAAACAGTAAGTAATAAATAAATAGTATTTAAAAAAATCAAATTAGTCTTTTTATTTTTAAGTCTTACAATATAGATTATATATATTAAATCTACATCTATACTTTAATAAAGTATAGTTGTAGATTTAATATATATAACCTATATTGTATATTTTATAATATAAAGTCCGATTTATTTTATTTATTAAATTATATTTTATAATATAAAGTCTTTATATTATATAATATACCTAGCTATAATTATTGCTTATAAATATTAAAAGTTACATGATTTTAAACCTTTATCTATATTTATAAATTATAAATATAGATATAAATATAATATATTATAGTATAATATAAAGTATACTTTACTATATATTATATTATAATATATTATATTTATATCTATATTTGTAGTTTATATTTATATCTACATCTATACTTATATATTATATCTATATCTATACTTAGTATAGATTACTATATATTATATCTATATCTATACTTAGTATAGATATAAAGTATAGATATACATATAGGTTCAATTATATTTATAAGAATCAAAATTAAAAATTCTAATTTGATTTTATTTTAAACATATATAACTGGTAGCAGGTGGTAGCAGGGTGAAAAAGAGGCGTTTTTTGAAATTTTTTGAAAATTTCAAAAACTATATTTTTGAGATCTTTAGGGTGTTATTTTTTGTGGAAACTTGGTTTGATTTAAAAAAACTTATGCATACATACAAAATTTACCCTTCTAGATAAAGGTATTTAAGTTCTTAGGCCATAGCAACCGCCTTAGCAACGCTTTTTTTCAAATATCTCTGGATTAAAACCTGATCAAAACTTCTAGTTTTCACCTAAAAGGCTTCTTTTTATTCTTTTAAATATCTCTATTTATTCAGTTTATAAGCTATACACTAAAGCCTCAAAAACCGTTCTCAACTCAGAGCTTCTAAATAAAGGTTGTGTTATAGATTCTTATATCCTTCAGTTAAAAATATATATATATATATTTTAATTAATAAAGCTATTATTACTTGGAATGGGTTCTGAAAAAAGATATAAAAAATTACGATCAAGAAAAAGGAAAGGATTTACCACGAGAGCTTTAACTGACAATACATCAACAACAGTAAACAATGAACTGAGTCAAAATATATCTGATTTAAAATCAGCGTCTGGAAAAAAATTAAATGTTTCATTTTCTGATAATCATACTCCAATTGCCACCCCTAGATGCAATTTTTTTATAGACAGTGATCTTTTTATGTCTCTTATTAATATAGTTGGACGATGCCCTGTTTGTATTGCAACAATAGACATTGAACATATTTTATCAAATAAAATGGGTCTTGCCCAGTTTTTTAATATTTCATGCACCGAATGTAATTGGAAATTAACATTTTGTTCTTCAAAAGAGTGCAGTAAATTTAAGTCTACTTCCAGAAAAAAAAGTTTTGAAATTAATATACACACAATTGCTGCATTTAGAGAGATCGGTCAAGGTTTTAGTGCAATAAAAACATTTTGTTCTTGCATGAATATGCCATCACCAATGGCCAAAACAACATATAATGAAATTAATAGCGAGTTGCATAATGCCTACGTACAAACAGCACAAGAGTCAATGAAAGAAGCTTCCAAACAAATACATTTTAACAAAACCGTAGATGATTCTGTTGTTATTGATGCTAAAGTTAGTGGTGACGGTGCTTGGCAAAAAAGAGGATACTCTTCCTTGAATGGAGTAGTTACACTAATTTCGGAGGGGAAATGCATCGATACTGAAGTGTTATCTAAAAAATGTAAACAATGTGAAATGTGGGAACTAAAAAAAGTGAATGTAGATGCATATAATAACTGGAAAGAAACTCATGTATGTTCAATAAATCACATTGGCAGTGCTGGAGCTATGGAAGTTGTAGGAATGAAAAGAATGTTTGCACGTTCAGTACGTCTTCATTGTTTAAGATACACATTTTTTATTGGAGATGGTGATACAAAATCCTTTGAAGAAATATGTAAATCAGATCCATATCCAGGTCATAGCATTACCAAAGGAGAATGTATAGGACATGTCCAAAAACGTGTTGGAACACGACTGCGTAAACTTAAAGCCGATTACAAGGGAAAAAAGTTAACTGATGGTAAAAGCATTGGGGGAGGGAAAGGTCGGCTAACTACTAAAGTCATTAACACTCTTCAAAACCATGTTGGAATGGCCATACGACAAAATAGTGGCAACCTGTATGGCATGAAAAAGGCTGTTGCTGCGGTTTTACACCACGCAACAGATGAGCAAAATTTAGAATACCGACATCAGTTCTGTCCACGTAGGTCTGATTCTTGGTGCAGATTCCAAAGTGATAAAATCACAGGAGCAAAAGCATATAAAGAAAAAGTTAATGTTCATAAAGCTGTTTCTGATGTTATTGCTCCAATATTTTCTCACAGAGGTCTTGGTAGTGATGAACTTCTGACAAAATGTTTACATGGTGAGACCCAGAATGTCAATGAGTCTTTGAACAATTTGATATGGACACGGTGCCCAAAAAGGGTATACATTGGGAATGATGTTTTTAAAACTGCAGTTGCATCTGCTGTTATTGCATACAATGACGGTGCCCAAGGACTGCTTCCAGTTTTTAATAAACTGGGCATAGACAATGGGTATTTCACTAAAGAAGGTTTTAGATTATCTGATATTTGTCGTGTCAAACAATCTGAGAAAAAGTCAACTAGCTCAGTAAAAAAAAGAAGAAAGAAACTTCTTTCAATTAGAAAAGGTCATAATGATAAAAATGAACTTGAGGAAGGAGAGACATATGCTAGTGGAGCATTTTAATTTGGTTTTTGAGTTTTATTGTTTCATTTAATTTTATTTATTTTTTCTTTAAGGTTTTTCTTGCCTTTAATTTTTCACAATTTTTGTGGTCTTTTAACAAAGATAACTTTTGATTGGATAAAGCTACTAAGCTGAATTTTTTTTTAGTGTTACATTGTTCTATTTAGAGTGTTCTGAGCGAAGCACTTTTTAAATTTTTATAAAAACTTAGCCAGCAGTGCTATTTTTACATAAACATATTTTACTTTTTTTGAAATTTGAAGTTTGACAGTAAACCTGGCGCGTTTAAAAAAAAAAAATTATTTTCTGTTTCGCTCAGAACATAGTATTACTAATAAAGATTGCAACTAGAAAATTAAATGTGATTCTGATCATTTTTCATTAAGTTATCCTTGTTGGAAGAAACATATAAAATTAAGGCAAAAATCTGTTCATGACGTGTACAATTGATGACGTCATTATTAATTTTTTATGCAAATAGTGTTAAATGTTTTTTTTTTAATAGTATTTTTCATTACAATAAAACATATTGAATTATTTTGACTTTTTAAAAAAAAACCGTTTTTACCCTGCTACCACCTTAACAATATTGTTACAGTTATGTAAGAATATTATAACCATATTAATATAACATTGTTCTTGTTATATTAAAAGTTACATGACTAGTCATATAACTTTTAATATAACAAGAACAATGTTAAACTAATATGAAGTTATATATATATATATATATATATATATATATATATATATATATATATATATATATATATATATATATATATATATGTATATATATATATATATATATATATATATATATATATATATATATATATATATATATATATATATTTATATATACATATATATATATATATACATATACATATACATATATATAATATATACATTTTTAAATATGTACCAGCTTTAGTAAATAAAACAACTTATGTAAGTTTCAATAGTGAGCTTTTGGACAAAACGACGAAAGATAATAGCTGATGTTGAATATTGCCTAAAAGATCTTACCATTAAACCAAGTAATATTTCACATTCACCAGAAGAAGTACAATCATTGTATTTAAAAAGTATATCAGATTGAAAATTTTCAACTGAGAGTGCTGTTCCATAAGGTGCGAATAATATTAATTGTGAAGTGAACTCTGACAGTAATCTATTGATATTAAATATTGGCATTAGACAAGGTATTTTAAATAATAATTTAAGTTTTTTAAAGAAAAAGGATTGTATACCAATTTAAGTCAACATTGATGATTTACCATTGTTTAAAAGCAGTATTGGACAATTTTGGCCAATATCAGGTTTAGTAAAAAATGTGGATAAACAATATTCAACACAATAAAACCCCATTTATAATTAGTCTTTTTTATAGTAGGTCTAAACCAAAAGACCGTAATGAATTTCTAAAAATGTTTGTTAATGAAAGTATTGCTTTATTTGATTCTGGTATTAGTATTAATGGTAAAGTATATAAGTTTGCTATATCAGCTTTTATTAGTGGTACACCAGCTAGATCATTTATAAACAGAAATAAAGGACATAAAGCCTATTAATAAATGTTATGCAATAATTAATGGGATTAATTTGATATCTATTTTTTTTAAATTTTTTAAATTATTCTTTAGTATATATATATTACTGATGCTTTTTCTATTTTTTTTTTTTGTAGATAATAGCTGTGGCAAGTAAAGGAGGCCAGACTTTAAAGGAGGCTGTCCAGAGAATGTTCTTTGCGTTATTCACTAATAACCTCTGCTGTAAACTCAACTGGTCTGGTAGTACCATAAATGACAATGAAAGTAACTTTGTAAAACAAAGACTTAAACTTGCTTAAAAGTAATTTTTTTTGTAGGGACTTGTTACTCTAATTTAATAATTGCTTGTGTCTAATTTAGTAATTACTAATCTATTTGTTGATAAATAGTTGATAAATAAATAAAATTTATTTATTAACTATATAAAAATAAAAAATTAATAAATACATAAATGAAATTTGTTAATAAATTGCTTTAAAAAAAATTCTATATATGTCTGAAATTAAGTTAAAAAATATTTTTTTTGTTTTCCTGCTAGATAGTTAAATAAAAGTCTTAAATTAATTTTTACGAGCTGTAAAAAGAAATCCATCAACAACTTCAGCAACTGAATCAGATTTTCAATATGAGGTTGTGCGTTTTTTGCGTGGGGCATCAGACTGCAATGGCAGAAAAAAAGTTAGACAAGACCAAAAAAACAAACAAGCGAAGAAAATGATGCCTACATCAAGTTTTCCAATGCCATTAAAAAATTTAGTTCAAAAGATGAATAACATTGCTAAATAAAATAAGCATCTTTATTTACATATTTGTTATCTTTATTTTACAATATTTTATATATTTTTTAACTCAATAGAGTAAAGTTTTATGTGTAATGAGTATTATTGATCTGTGTTTTTCATATTCATTTTTTTTTACAGTAACCTTTTGTATATGAGATTGTAGATGAGAATTTAAATCGTGATATTGAATCTTACCAGAGAATAAAGTAAAAATAATTTTATTATTTTGATATTTATTTAATTTTATTAATTTGATATTATTTTAATGTTATTTTTGAAGAAAATCCAAAATATAAGTTCTGGAGTCTGTCTACTGTTTGATTTGTTTGATTATATTAAATTTAAATATAACTATAAGCTTTAAAATATTAAATTATTGATGGAAAGCTAAATTAACTTGGTATTTAACCAGTGAAGCAGATGAATAAAAATCTAACAAAATTTTTATTTTACAAGCCATTATTTTATAGGATTGCTTTAACAATTCCGTTCAAACACGCTTGTAATTTAATGTTACATTTATGATTTAATATTATTTCTTACAGGAAGCCGTTTACCTCAAGTAGAGTTATATTTCATAGAATTATGTTGACCATGATCCAAATATTGCTATGGGTATAAGATAGATGTTTGATTTGCAAACATCTATCTTATTCCCATTTAAATCTTATTTTCTTTAAACATATTTATTTGCTCTTTATATACTTACAAATAATTTATTAGAAAAAAATTATATACTTATTTACTAAATCGTTTTATTTCAATCAATTATTTGATTTTTTATATTTTTCAAGGAATTTTTATAGTATATTATAATGCACTATGTTTTTTTTTTGTATGGTGAAAACTATGTTCAATTTACAAACTATATTTTAGTTTATCAAAATATATTTTTATTGATTTGTTCTGTCTCTGATTCTTTCTTTTTCAGATTTGCACTTGTGTCTTAGGCTTATGCTTTGCAAAAGGTTCACCATCGCCCTTAAGTTGCTGTGGGTTTTACGGTTTTACTTTCAACCTGGCATATAAGTATTTCATTTTTAAATACTATTTTATTTGTTAAATTAAAATTAAAATTAAAGAAAATTTTTTTAATGAAATAACAAATTTTTTTAATTATTTAAAAACCCCTTAAGCAAATTTATACCCCACATTTATAGGATTAGGTATACCAGGTAGGTTACTGTATATGAAGTTTTATTTTTTTAAAAAAGCACGGAATATGACTTTATTTTTATATAGCTTTTTTTTTAAAGTTATTTCCATAGCTTTTCAATTTAAACAATATTTTTTTTGTTTTTATGTTTTAAGTTATGCTTAAATAATAAAATTAAGTTTATATTTATTCAATGCAGATGCACTTAGCATCAGAAGTTATTTGTCAATAACTGGTGATTAGACTTTCAAACGAACGCATTTTTAAGGGCTGAGAAGGTTAGTTTATTAACTTTGTTGTAATAGCTCTAAACTTGACTGTTTCAATATTTTCATTATATATCATTGCCTATTTTTAAGTGAAAGTTAGAAGTCTGCAGACTGCAACGTAAATCAATTTTCAACCAATGGTTTTCTGATTATATTTAGTTTTCGATTAAAATGATAATAAACTGAACTTATAGATATGTTGAAAATTTACTATTTTATATTTTAAACGTTCGCTAAACGCAAGTGAAGCAATAATCTATAGATGCAAATATACTTCATATTTTGTTTTAGTTTCAAAAAAATATATTGTTACTTTTATATTCATGTTGTAATTGTAAATTGCAATCTTAAAATGATTTTTATTATAACTTCTGATTAGTCTTTTTGTTCACCAAGCTTGAGCCTTGCCACGTATGATTTATAAAATGCAAATCCTTCCAGGCATTGGCAGGATTTGCATTTTTTTATGAGTAAAAATTTGAGGTGAAAGATATAAAGATTTTTGCAAACGATAAGTGCGTTCTATTTAAACAAAAAAATAAAAATAATTATATGTATATCAATGCATTCAAATCTTAGTCAAAACTTATTATAGATCCTATGCTATTCCGCAATGGCTTTATCATCGTTTAGCCGCTGACGGACCGTTGCTCAAACGTTGTCGATTTGGCGCCATAGATCCGCTGTCGAACCGTCTTCAGTTTTCCGCTATTGGACCGGTGTAAATACGATGTGCAAGCCGACGCAGCAACGCAACGGGCGGCCGACGTCGGTACGCCATCTGTGCTGACAGCGGTCCGTTATCGGTCCGCCTGCGTGATGTTTGCTGGGTAGGTGCATTGACCTCTCCAAAGCGTTTGATATAGTGAATCACGGGATACTTGTTGAAAAGCCTAATATGCATATATATCTATCTATCTATATATATATATATATATATATATATATATATATATATATATATATATATATATATATATATATATATATATATATAATATATATATATATATATATATATATATCAAACAAGTGCCTATCAAACAAGTGCATAACAGACTATTTTAGTAACTGTACACAACCCAAACATTATGGAAATAGTAAGCATTCGAGTTTATCTTTGATTACTTGTGGAGTGCCCGAGGGATTTATTCTCGGGCTCCAACTTTTTATTATATATTTTATTTTTAACTTATTTATTTTTAACTTATTCTTAACTGTTATAGTTGTTTTATTACTTTCTTGATTTTTAACACAATGAAACACAGTGACCACCAGGTTTGAAGTCTCCCGACATTAGATTTTTTTTTATATATACTCAGTTTTTTATATGAAAATAAATATTTAGTTAGTAAAAACCTCTAGGGGAACGGTAAAAGGCATGAAAATCAAAAACTAAAAAGGCATAGTTTTTAGTTAAAAATATACGCTATTTTTTATAATATTGATCTAATTTGCTATCAAATACCGGCGTTTCTTGATTTTAAACCTACTCTGGTGCACAACGACTTGAGTTTTACTAAATGACGGTCAAAGTTTTATGTGCTGTTTGTTTTAAAACCTTTGCTAAAAAGTCAGCAAAGCTTCATAAAATAAAGAAAAAATAAAAACTTTTTAGAACTGAAGAAAAAATTTAAACTTTTATTTGGGATAGCTATGATCAAAATGTAGCATATCATCCTAAAGTTAAAATTAGCAGTTGTTATAAAAGCCTTTATTGTTTGGAAAAGTATGACACAAAATACCTTGATAAGTGGCTAAAGTAAATTTCTCAGGTTAGTTGATAAGATTAATAAAAAACTATATTTAAGACTTAGTGTTTAAAATTTTTTTGTTTATCAATTTTGTAAAAAGAGCTGTGTCGCAATAATTCATTGAGACTCAGCTCCTTATATATGTTAATTCATTGAATGATTTAATGAACCTTTATAAATTTATAAAATTTTAAACAACTTGTTATATATAACAAGCTGTTTAAAATTTTTATATAAAGAACTAACATGTCTTTGATGTGTTTATTAATAATGTGTTATATTTTTTATTTTTACCAGTTTATATAGTTTTATTTGATTAGATAAACCGTCAAGAAATCAGAAGAACTTCAGTTGTTTCAGAAATATTAAAAGATATTAACATTATTACTTCTGAGCTAAATAAAAATAAAAATGAAAGGATGTGCCTAAAATAATGTGGAGTTGTTAAATAAGGCATTATTCCTTTTTGTAATGATGTTCAAACTGTTAAAAATTTAGTTAATGCAGCATATGCATTGGGATCAGCAAGTGCAGAACGTTTCCCTTTAAGTATTTAAAAAATAAAAACGGAAAAAAAAAAATTTTTGGAGGTGAGATATTCACAACTGCTTCTAAGAAACCATTGACTATTACAGATGGAACTATGGGCAATAAATGTGATCGCGCTAATCTTAGTCAAGTGTCTTATTGAAAATTTATTGAGCTTATAAAAAATTTAGAATTATCTCAGTGTAAAACCAAAAAATTGTGTTTCATATTTAAAAAAAGTTTTGGCTTTCAAATTAGCATAGAAAGAAATATTATTGAAAAAGCAGAGGCTTTAAAAGCATAAATGAATAAATATTTTTCATGTAAAGAAGAAGAATTTTTTGAAGCTAGCAATATAGAAAATAAGTCAATGGTTTATATAAAAGATATTGATGAATTTATTCATAATATATTTACTAAAAGGAATATTAAGCCTCTTTCTACAAATATAAGAGTTGCTGTGGATTCTGGTCAAGGTTTTATAGAGGTCATTATGAATCTTTTTAATCTGCAGGATAAAACTAGCAACCAATCTGACTTTGATGATGCTTGATTTAAGCGTTGTTTTATTGTTGCTATTGTAGAAGGTGTCTAAACACAATGGAAATCTTAGAAAATTAGTTGATACTCCAAATTTTCAAAATATTAAGTATTCTGTTTTAAATTTAAAGTGATTTAAAGTGTACAAACTCAATGTTTGGCATTACAAACCATGCTGGAAAATATATTTGTTTGTGGTGTAAAGGAGATAGTCTTTTGGATGGTGGAGAAAAACGAACGTTTCGTTCTCTCAAATATCATTACACTAAATACACAGAAACTGAAAAACCAAAATGTTAATAATCTAAGACTATTGTATCTTGAAGAGGATCCAGACACAATTATAGAAAATTTAGTTCCAGTACCTGAGTTACATACATTGATCTGAATAGTTGCAATTTTTTGAAAGATGTTATTGAAACTATGGTCTAGCTTTAAAAAAGGGATAAACTCAAATTAAATATTTTTCAGTGATAACCATGGCATTGGATTTGATTGCAACAATGCCCACAGACTTTTAGAAAAGTTAGATGTTCTTGTCGTGATATTGCTGATCAAGGAAAGCTTGAATTATTGCCAGTAATTAAATGTTTGAGAAAGTTTTAAGCAACGAAGAAAGCTACCTTTGGAGAAAAAATTATTGGTGATATTTAATCAGTAGTTTCAGAATTCAAGATCTCTAATGCTAATTTAATAGAATATATTAATACTTACTTTAATAATATTTCTTTGAATATACAGTGGAAAATTCATATTGCAATTATTCATATTGTACTATTTATAAAAAGTACCAATTCTGATAATGGACTTGGAATTTACTCTGAGCAAGCAGGTACATCTGTTCATTATGAGTTAAAAAAGATATGGGTCAAGTATAAGAGACGACGAAACAACCCAAACTAAGCAATTGAAATCAAGTGTTGTGGAACTTTCAACATTTAATAATTAGATAACAAGTTTACTATTCAAATAATTATACTGTTGATCCACAACTATATCAAAATTGTTGTTTCTAAAGTATTTTTTTTTTTTTTTTTTTTTTTTTTTTTTTTTTTTGTTCTTTTCTTGAATATTCAATATAGTTATACAATAAGATAGTTGAGATAAAAATCGTTATACAATAAAAGAAAATATATACAAAAAAGAAAGAACGCGGAGACTCGCAGAAGACCTTCAGGTCTTATCATCGAGAACCGCTCGTGAATATTAAGTACATTAAATTAACATGAAGTAAAAAATCTAAACAATGTCGTATTAAAAATTAGCGAGAACGTAAATTTCGTAATAATATATAAATAAAATTGGAATAAAGAAATTGTTGATACTCTTATATATAAATGCAAAATATTTTAAAAAGTACTGTTTCCACAAACACATAAGTTATGGATCAGATATAATATTTATATATTACCTTATGTAATAAACTTTATATTCATTTTTAAAAGAATTTAAAAATATAAAAAAATGTCTTCAAAAGACAAAACAATTTCTTTTAGTTTTTTCTTAAATGAAAGATAATTCCATTCATGGGAAAAATCAAAATTTTTTAAAACTATTTTGTTCCATAGAAAAGCTCCTCGATATGAAATACATGACTTTCCAAAATTAGTTAAAGATAAAGGTTGCTGAATTTGATTATCATTTCTTAAGTTATATTTATTTTTATCTTTTAAGGTATATAGATTATGAAAAGAAACTGGAGATTCGTTGGTTTTACACATGAACATAAAACAAAGTATATTAAAAATATTTAGCTGATAAATATTAAGAATTTTCATTTGA